AGAAATGTATGAGTAGACACCACATCTTCCAGATCCAAGTCTTCCAGGGTCTACCCGCCGTGTTTGTGAAGACCTGGGATTTGTGAAGGCTTTGTATTTCAAAAAGACAAGACCTGTGTGTGCAGGCAGTGTGAGTGGCAGGAAAGCCAGCAGCAGGTGACCTCTGTGTGTCTCTTGCTGCAGGACCAAGGCGGAGCGAGTGCGGAAGCCCCGGTGCTGCAGGGGACCCCAGGGGCTCCTGCCCCGCTACCTGGAGAGCCAAGCAGAGGGCCAGGAGCAGCTCTTCAAACTGACAGACAACATCCAGGATGAGTTGTGAGTACACAGCCACTTACACAGCTACTCTGAGTACTTCTGTTCTTGCTGTCATCATCTCTTCGTGTCTAAAACTGCTTCACACACAGACACATGTTCATTCTGGGTCCTCAGCACTGCAAGGGCATTGAGGGGATGGAAGTGTGTTCAGGAAAGGGAATGGAGCTGGGGAGGGGTCTGGAGCACCAGGAGTGTCTGAGGGAGCTGGGGGAGCTCAGCCTGGAGGAAAGGAGGCTCATGGGGGACCTTCTGGCTCTTCACAGCTCCCTGACAGAAGGGTGCAGCCAGTCAAGCTCTGATCCCACAGAACAGGGAACAGGAACAAGGGATGGGATGAAAGGAAATGGTCTGAAGTTGCACCAGGGGAGGTTCAGGTTTGATACTGGGGTAAATTTATCCAAGGAAAGTCATAAAGCCCTGGCACAGCTTCCCAGGACAGTGGTGCAGTCGCCACCCCGGGAGGGATTTAAAAACCTTGTGGATGTGGCACTTGGGGACATGGGTTAGTGTTGGCCTGAGCAGTGGTGGGGGAACAGTTGGATTTGATAGTCTCAGAGAGCTTTTCCAACCCAAATTATTCTGTGAATATCAGGTTGTTGGATTGTGGTCTAAATGCAGAATTCATAATTTGCCTGATCTCCACCATAGTTACTGATCAGCTGTGTCAGGGGAGGGTTAAATGCTGAGTCTTTCACCCATCAGAGCATCTGCCAAGGCAAAGGGTCAGAATTGCTGATGGTGGAGCTGGCAGAGGGAGGTACAGGTTCAGCAGGGTCACTTGGTGTCACCGGTGTCACTGGGCAGGTTCCATGTGCCACTGCAGCTTCTGCCTGAGGAAGAGATTGCAATCTGCCACTTACTTGTCACCCTGTGAGTTCACGTTTGGTGTATCCTGTTTCCATCTCCTTTCAGGATCTTTGTGCCTATTCAGGATGCCTCTTAGGCAGGGAGATTGGAAAGAGCAATTTGTGACCAAAAAAAATGACTAGTGTAGCCCATAGCAGTGTAGTGGCCTTTGTCATTGAGTCACACTGTTCATTCACTGTGACTCTGGCTATTAGAAACATCATTCAGCAGGAACACAGTGTTTCTTGTCATGGAAAATAAATACAAAATTATGCCTCTGACTTTTATCCTAGTATCATAATCAGAAACACATTTGAAGACCTGATTATTTGCATATTTTCCTTCAGAGTTAAATCCATAAAAGGGGGTTTAATACCTTGCTCTACTGTTCTAACTAAATGTTTCCACATTTTTTTCCAGTTAGGCTTGCTGTTTCACTTCTGGAAAATATTGTGTAATTACTTCCTGATGTTGTTAAGAACCCCACAAATTCTCCAGAGATCTGATTGCTTCTACTTTGTTCTACTGGATCATGTTTCATTTAATTTTTCATTTTATTAATTTGAAATATTTTTAATAGTGTAGATGTATGGATTAAAAGAAAAAAAAAAAGTTGTATCTTGCAGTAATATCTGAAAAGGTTAAAAATACCAGTTTTAAGAACTTGACACTGAGAAAAAAGAAACAGTTGGCAAGAGCAAAGGTAGTGGTGCATGACTCAAACTTAGAACAAAATGTAGAGCCTGAACTACAAATTAGCTAATGTTTCTGGGCTTCTCCATTAACTCACTGACCTCTGTTTCCATTCTTCAGAATATATACATGCCACCAGTAAAAGTCTTTTAAGGAGAAGTACCTGCATCATGTGCTGCTCTTCCAGAGCAAATGCAAGCTGTGGTCAGTGCCCAGGTGCCTCCCCTGGACCTGAGAGCAGCTCTCAGTGCCCCTTCTCTCCCCGTGGGTGCCCTGGTGGCATCCTGACCTGGTTGGATCTGATGCCTCCCTCCAGCACTCGTGTTTGATGTGCCTTCCAGGGCATCAGGCTGTTCTTCTGCAGCTGTGCTGCTGCTCTGGGTTTAAATTAAATTTTCTGTGACACTCCATTAAAAATGTCACTCTCCATCCTATTTAACTAATCTCAAAGGCAGAAGTGTTTGAACTCTGATGGAAAACTGCAGGGCAGGTGCTGATTTCCAGAACTCTGTTAATGTTGTGTTTCACCTGGGTTCCTCTAAGCCAAACTCCACTTTCCTTCCAATTTATATTACTTAAAGGAACACAGGTTTTTTTATCCCCTCCTGGAGCTTCATCCAAGGTTAGAGCTGGGCAAAGCATGTTACAGGCCCTTTTTAATGAGGCTGTGTCCTTCTCAGCACTGACTGGGCTGGAGTTGGTGTGTGCACCTCTCCCAGTGTGAGGGGAGGGAGGGCAGGGACACAGCACAGAGGGAGAGGCAAATTGAGTGCAGAGCAGTGTCTTTGAGAGGACTGGGAATACAGAATTACTGGAGTCATCCTTTTATACCACAAAAAGAAACTATGGCCTGACCTCTTGCCATATTTTTGGCTATTAACATACCTTTTATAGCTCTGGGTTTATTTGGCTACAGATCAGAGTAGCTTGTGTGCAGGGATATTTAACTGGGAGAGCCAAGAGTGCATTTGGAGATGAAGAACTTTTCTGTTTACCAGAAGCACTGAGTTAGTGACAGAGGTCACTGATGTCTAAGCCAGTGGAGGATTCTGCAGGATGTGAGGGCAGCAGGCAGGTTTGCATGAGCAGTGGCTCAGAGGGCAGCAATTGGGAACCTGCCTGACAGCAGCAGAATCCTGCTTTACAGATGCTTGTCAACCCTGGGGGCTGTTGGCAGAGATTTTTTACTCTATTTAGCACTACTCTATTACTCTACTCAGCTATGATTCCACATTCAAGTTGCTGAATTTTTCAGCTTTTTAAAAGCCCCACTAAGGAGGTTCATTTCAGTAGTAAACCAGAAGTGAGGAGGAGCATTTTTGTGTTCAACTTCCATTTCACTTTGCACCTTACAATTATTTTTTTACACACTGGCCTTTTCAGCCATCATAACTCTCAATATTCCTAACTCACTCTTCTCCCTCTCTTCCTATTCATCACTCAGCCTAATCTCCCTGGGGAAACCTGCTTGCTGCTTAACCTCTCACCCCTTGTTAAACAGCTAATTTCTCTTTTCTGCTACTGATCCTGGCAGCAAGTTCAACTTGATTTTGGTTTTGAAGGCAGGGAGGTGTGGGGAGCGGAGAAGCACAGGAGAATTACAGGATAGCTCTTGTCATAAGTGTCTGCAAACCTTTCACTTACCAGCTCTGGACCTGAAGTTAGTTGCAATTAAGCTTCAACATTAGGACTTGGAGTACTCCAAAGCAAGGAAATTACTGTTCCTAAGTCTTTGTCAAAGGACATTTTTATGTGTACCTGTGATGCCCAAGGCAGGCAGCACTAATATTTGATTTACAGCACGATCTTTTTATAAAGAGGTGAGAGTGTCATTCATTAGCTCAATTTCTAAACAGTTCGAATTAAATACAGATGAACTGTACATGTTGTACTACTACATTTTCTGATGGACTTCTGAAGGTCACAGAACAGGTGAAGACACTGGTTAATTTGTTATTTGTAGCTTTAACCTAATGATGCTTTCTGAAGGTCACAGAACAGGTGAAGAAGTGGTTAATTTGCTATTTTTTGCTTTAACCTAATAATGCTTTCTGAAGGTCACGGAACAGGTGAAGACATTGGTTAATTTGCTATTTTTAGCTTGAACCTAATGATGCTTTCTGAAGGTCATGGAACAGGTGAAGAAGTGGTTAATCTGCTATTTTTATTTTGAAGCTAATGATGCTTTCTCCTTTGCTGCAGTTTCATCGCTGTGGAGAACATCGACAGCTACTGTGTGCTCATCTCCTCCAAGGCCGTGTACTTCCTGAAGAGTGGGGATTGCATGGACAGGGATTCCATCTTCCTGGAGGTCAGGTATGATGACCTGTACCACTGCCTGGTGTCCAAGGACCACGGGAACGTGTACATCCAGCTCACCAAGAAGGCTGTGAGCACCAGCAGTGGCCTGGCCATGCCTGGCCCCTCCCAGCAGCGGCCCATGGTGAGGAGCTGGCACCCCTTTCCCCTGTGCTCCCCTCCTGACCAAAGTGCTTTAAAATCCCAGGCTTTGTTCTGTCAGCACTGAAAACAGCTGCTGCCCAGCTTTCAGTGACCTCCTAAACTCCTGAGCAAGCTGAAGAAAGCAAAACACTCAAATAGTCCCACAGGCTGAAAAGTAACAGGAAGAAAGATGTATTTACCTGTGAAAGGCTTTTAACTTTTAACCACATAAATGCAGCTTGTGTACTTTGCTGTCTGTTTAATCTTCTCCTGCATGTAGTAGTTTTTACTGTGAGGTCTCTAAAGCTGGAAGCAGTGTTTATGTTTTGTGCCATTTCAGTAGTTGCTCAGGGGCTGTTTTACAGGCGCAGTTACAAGCTCACCCCTGACCCAAGTCAATTCACATTCCAAACAGAACAGCCAGATAAAAGGTGGGAGGGGAGGCAAAGGAAATAACCTCAGATATGGCACTGTGTTCCTGCTCTCACCCTTGAATATCTGTGTGTACCTGCTCCTTCACGCTTCTTCCTTGCTCCAACCTAAGTGCTGAGAAGGAAACTCCACCGAAACCTTTCTGTCCCTTACTTTAAACCTAAAATCTACTGTGTTTTAGCTGACAGGAGGAGTACATTAAGAAAAATCCCCTTTCTTTCTGCAGGTGAAAGTGAAATCAGAAGCTCTGGCAGTAAAGGTGTCCCAAGAAATCAACTATGCAAAGAGCCTTTATTATGAGCAGCAGCTGATGCTGAGACTTAGTGAAAATCAAGAGCAACTCGAGCTGGACTCTTGAAAATCCATTTCCTCACTGCCAGAAAGAGCTGCAGGTACCAGGCTGGAGCCAGGACTGTGTGACTAGAGAAGGAAAAAATACAATTTTAGTATTTAGAGAGAACAAAAGGGGTGGCTTTTATTTTTTAAGCACTAGCTGTATAACAGAGGTGTAGCTGACACAGCTTTGGGTCTGGGAGAAGCCCTGTATTTTGCTAACATGTATATATGTACAAGTGTCCATGTAAATATGCCGGGCAGCGGGTGTTGGTATAAATATGAGTCTGTTTACTGTGTAAAGAAATTAAAGGAGCTCTACTGAGTCGTACTGCACTACCTGACAGAAGCCCTTCTCTATGTCTTTTTTTATTTCCTTGAGAAAAATGATTTTCAGTGCAGGAATGTAGATAAACCTTTAAAAATAAAATCAATAATTAATTTTAGCTTTTGGAGCACAGGTGTCCTGTGGTTTAGAGCTTTAACACCATGAATAGGGTGCATTAACACTGTGATTAGGGGGCATTGGTTGGGTTGTTTGGTGGACTTTTTGTTGTTTTTTTCTCTTAACTCACTAATACAGGTAAATACAGGAGACCTGGTCTTGCACTGAAATGTCAGCCTCTTTTTGAACAAAAAAAAAATTGTATTTTGGTAAATAATACAGGGAAGATTCCATTTTACATTCACAGTCTGCATCTCAAAGCCTCCTTTCTGACTTGTTTTTGAAGCAGTTGAAGATTTGGAAATGAAGAATTTTCTGTTTACCAGAAACACTGACAGCCTTGGAAATTGAACCTTTAACTTCAAGTTTTTTCCTTCCTTCAGGTGGATGAAGGGTGGGGGGAGAGGAGACTACCAGCTTGTTGGAATTCACAGTATCTTGAGAAGTAAACTTCTAAATAATAAAAACAACAATTTTTTTCCCCAATGTTGTACACCACATTGGTATTTGTCTCATTAACTGTGACCACACTGAAGAGGGAGGAATGAGTGCTCTTAACCCAGAGGAGCTGGAACCCTTAATGTCACACTTTTACTCCTTGGAGGGGCCAGGTTTGGGTATGAAGACACAACTCTGCTGAGTAACCTACATTTTAGTGTGACTTCATAAACCTTTTGATTCAGTGTAAGCAGACCTTTTAAAAGATCAAGTAATTTGAAGGTAAAGTCCTTTCATGAAGACACATGGGAATATTTTGATGCTGAAGGTTAGAGTGAAACTACTTCTGAGCTCTTGTAAAATACTGTGCTGCTAAAGGTGGGGAGGGAAAGCAAGGAGTAGTTCTCACTGCTGTGTTGAGCCCTTCAGGGGATGGATGGAGTACTTGGGGTCTGTGACCATCCATGAGGAGATGATGTGCAAACACCAGAGCAGTCACTGAACAGTGGCACCCTTGGAGTGCCCTGAACTCAGAGAGCCATCTGTGTGAAAAAACCTGTCCAGATGTAATAGTCTGTAAGGTTATTACCTAAAAAGAACTGTCAAGGTGTAATAAAGGGCAGATGAAATAACAACTCAGCAGGGGCAGGAAGGAAGAACTGTCTCTAACTGGTAGGGAGACCACACAGCACAGGAATGACACCTTTCTGTGTCTTCTTCTCTACTCTCCTCCCCTCTCCTTGCCTGTTTCCCAGTCCTCTCATCCCCTTTACCCCATCACATCCTTTCCTGTCCTTCCTTTTCCTTCCTTTTCCCATCCTTTCCACCTCTTTACTGTCTTCTCCCCCTTTCCCTGCCCTCCCCTTTTCTGCATTCTCCTCCTGTCCTCTCCCCCCTTGCCCTTTTCCCTGGCCCACAGTTTCACTCCAGTGCTCCTGCAAAGGTGAAAACTCCAGGGGCAGTGTCCACACTGTCCCTGCTGAACCAGCCCCACCCCACCCCAGAACTGACCAGCTCTGACCCCAGGACTCAGGCATCATTGGCTGTCCTCTCCTGAGACAGGGAATGTCTTCACTTTCTCAAGGCATGAAAGTAACTGGGAAAAAGAAACTAAATTACTAAATTTTAGACTCCAGGGCTGCAGTTCTGTGTGTCCTGCGTCTGTGGCACATTCACAGTGAAAACCCCTTTTCCCTGCCACCATTGCTTGATCATGAGTGATGCTGTTCCCAGCAGCTCCTACAGCCTGAGGGGTTCCTGCAGTGATGGGAGCACGGGGCAGACCTGACCAACACCCTTCCCTCCCTCTGCTCCTCCAGAGTCCCAGAAGCTCAGTGAGATCCATCTGAGCAGCTCCAGTCCCAAAGGCTGCTTCCCAAAGCAGTGCAGTGTTTGCATTTTTGTGGGGAGAAGCTAAGTGGCTAAATGGGCCCCATCTCAAACCAGAGCAATAATCAGACATTTCCCAGTGACAGGGACCTTTTGATCTCTTCACTATCTCATTTCCTAAACTGCACGGTGCTTTTCAACATTTATCTATTTTCTCGTCAATAAAATACTTTGTAACATCTTAGCCCAACTATATATATTTTTTAAATTTCTTTTTCTCTCTAAAGCACTGTTTAATACAAACCTGCTTCCTCCAGTGCACAACCCACTGGGCTGACAAATCCTCCCAGCCCTTGCTCTGTTTTCCTTCTCAGAGGAACCTGCCTTGATTTGCTGCTCACAATGGCTTCATCTTTGGTACTTCCTACTGAAAAATCAGGATTCAGTGAATATACTCTCTAGATTACAGGTTGTTGCTTAGATAAAGAAAGAAAAAAAAAAAGCAAAATCAAAGCACATCTGAATTAAGTCAAATTGCTCAAAATCCATTTATACAAATTTTCATCTGGCAATAACACTGTGCACGTGTATGCACCTGTACTACTTTAAATATATACACCCACCCCCAAATGTACATATACTTCAAAATTCTCATTAAAAGCAAAGGCTGTGTTTCAAACTCCTCTATTCCACCCTCCTAAAAGCAGGGTTGTTGCAAAGAAAGAACAACCTTTATTTTCTGAAAATAAATACAATACAATAAAATAATAAGAAATAATACAAAAATAAAATAATTAAAATAAAATAATAACATAATAAAATTTGCCCAGAGCTTCAGACTCCAGTTTGGATTGCTGCAGCATTCCAGCTTGACAGCACACTCTTCCTCCACATTATGTTGCTTAATTTTATCAAATGCAGGACTGGGACAAAGCACTTCCAACTCCCTTTCCCTTACAGGTTTGACTTTCTTGCAGCCCATTTCTTGCAGCTGCTGGTGGCCTCCCAGCTGCTCTGACAGCTTTGACAGAGGGCTCAGGGCAGCACAAACCCATCTGCTTTCCCCTGCCAGAACCATCCCTGGCCGAGAAAATGTTTTGTTAACAGGACCCAGAGCAGTTTGACCGAACCATGGAGTTTTCCAGCCTCAGAGTTCCTGGAATGGGAGAATGAGAGGCAAAGTCAGCCCCAGCTGGGGCTGTGACCAGCCCTGCTCGTGCCTTGTGCCTCGGGTGCAGGAGAGGGCAGAATCTGACAAGGATTCCTGCCAGAAAGAAAAGGTTACTCATTAACCACTGACAAACACTGGGGGAAAACCAGTCATATTGTTTTGCTTAGTAGAACCACAGCACATTTTTTGGCCAGAAAAACAAATGCTGTGGGTGCAAACTGCAGTTCCCTTACAGGGGTCAGCTCTGCTCAGGGCCTGGGGTGATGAACATGATGAACAGAGCAGCAGAATCCCAAAATCCCAGACTGGTTTGGGTGGGAAGGGACCTTAAAATCCAACCCATCCTCCCACTGCCATGGGCAGGGATCCCTTCCACTGTCCCAGGTTGCTCCAAGCCCCATCCAACCTGGCCTTGGACATTTCCAAGGATGAGGCAGCCACAGCTTCTCTGGGCAACCTGTGCCACTAATTCATCATTTATACATAGCACAGTATCACAGGGGTTGGCTGAGCATGTTTGGGTTTTTGGGTTTTCTTCCCTGTGCTCAGCACAAAGCAACCCTGTGCTTCAGGCCTGCTCTGGGCTGACTCAAAAGCACTGAAAGGCCATGGGCCAAGTAAACAGCTTCCATGTGCATTTCCATTTTGGATAAATGGCTGGGTCACCCAGAGGACAAGGGCTGTGGATGGGAGCTGCAGAACAATGGGTTCTGATAATGCCAGCAAAAAAAAAAAAAAAAAAAAGTCCCCTGCATGCTGCAGCTGCAGAGGAATTCTAATAAATAAAGGAGAAATCCATCATACCAGCTATCCCTCAGCCCTCCAGACACTGCAAAAGCAAACATTTGCTCTGCCCCAGGAGGGTGACTCACCATTCCTAAGGACTGTTGCTCCAAGGCCCTTGGCAAACAACGGAATCCAGCCGTACAAACCACTGGGTATCAAAATAATGATGTAGCAAAAAACCTGTGCCTGCATGCAGGTTTAATGGGAGGTGAAGAATAAAATAATTTTTACAAATAACTCACCATTTGCATGACCAAACTCCTCCCAGCCTTCTTTTGGCAAGGCAAGGCCCCTACAGCAGGTCTAGCAGCAGGAGCATCACCACTGATGTCTCCCCTCTGCCAGTGGGCAATTCTGGGCCCTCCCATTCATCCTTTTTCTAGATTTCCTTGAATCTCAAAGTATGAAGGAAACAATATTTGAGGTAAACATCCCAGAAATGTGAAGATTCTATTCAGCACTGCCTTCTATGCCAGAACAGATATTTATTTGTGGTATAATAGGATTTGCACGATCCTTCAAAGGATTATCCAGAGACGGCCCCCAGTTCAGACAGGCAAATGTTCTAGAATTTTGTGCATAAACAGTACAATCATTATTTCTGACCTGGCTCAGCACAAAGCTGACTCCAATCATGCTATTTATAGTCATAGAATTATTTGGCTTGGATGTTTCCATGGATCTACCACTGCTCTGGGCAACCTGTGACTGTGCCTCATCTTCATTGCAGAATTTTCTTCCTTATATCTGCTCTGAGCCTACTCTCCTTTACTTTAAGACCACTTTCCCTTCTCTTATAGCTGCAGGCCCTGCTGAAAGGTTTATCTCAATCTTTCTGGTAAGGCCTCTTGAAATAATGGAAGGGGCTCTAAGGCCTCCTTGGAGCCTTCTCCACTCCAGGCTGGTAACCTCCAGCTCTCAGCCTGGCTCCAGAGGAGCTCCAGCCTTTGGAGCACCTCTGTGGTCTCCTCTGGATCTCTTCCATGTCTGTCCTGTGCTGAGGGCTCCAGACCTGGATAAATTTCCTTCCTCTCCCTACTGGGTGCCTCCAACATGTACCAGCCTCAGTAGACAATAAAATGTCACCTTCACAAGGGATCTCCTTGTTCTGTGGCAGTTGTCATTCCTTGATGTTGCTTCTCACACATTTTGCTTCACTAGCTCAAATCCCAACTGTTGATCCTGTCCGTAAAATACATATATATTTTTTAAATCAGACCAGTATCTACCTGGAGAAATCCTGTGCTGTTGATAAAACCTTTTGAGTGAAAATAAACAGCTGTGAAGGTCATAATCACACTGGGATCACACCAGAGCTGACATTTATAAGCAGGTTTAAGAGCCAACTCCCCCACTTTCAGCTTCCTGATTTCTAACAATAAAAATCCACATTACACGGTAAAGCTTCACTCACCTTTCTTTCTACAGACACCTTTTCCCCTCTCCTTTGAGCACACCCCAGAGGGAAATCAACATGGAGAAGAACATGTATTTAGACATCACCCAGAACAGAACATGTATTTAGACATCACCAGATCAGAACATGTATTTAGACATCATCAGAACAGAACATGCATTTAGACATCACCAGAACAGAACATGCATTTAGACATCACCAGAACAGAACATGCATTTAGACATCACCCAGGACACATCTTGGGCCTCCCAGGAATTCCACAGCAGCACTGGGAGCTCCCCGGTCCCAAAGCCCAGCAGCCATGGTCACAGCAGAGCTCAGGGAGGGTGACACTCAGCACTGCTCCTGCATTCACTCCAGGATGATCCAGCGTCCATTTGCTGAGGGTTCCAGTGGGAAGAACCCCACGGAGCACAGCACTCCACATCCACACCCTGGACACAAAAAAGCCACCGAGGCTCCTGGTGCCGAGCTTCCACTGCGGCTTCCCCACACCAGCGCTGAGCTGGGC